ACACACACACACACACACACACAGGCACATACACACACAGATACACACACACACACAGACACACACACACATGCACACACGAAGAGGCTGTGGAAGATACTGAAGACGGGTGGGTTGTGAAGGGGGAGCTGACAGCTGTGGATTTTTAGGTTGAGGTGGATAGATTTGTGAGGGGTGAGGGTATTCAGCAGCATGTGTGGAAGGCAAGTAAAGGGGGTTCCGGGGCAGGTCAGCTAAGATCTGACAGAACAGGGGCAGAACAGCCTCAAGGGGCCGTGAGCTACATAACACCCTTCGTAATCGTCACCTTGAGGTGATCGCAGAGATGAAAAGACCTAACTGTAAGAAATTCTCAACCATTCTGCCAAGGCCTAAAATCAGAAAAGCTCTGTCAACAACTGTCACAGCTGGAAAAGGGAGGATACTAATGGAGCAAATTCATTTTCTCTGGTTTCGATTTGTGTGTGATGTATCTAGGAGCTCCCTAATAGCAGCTGGTGCTGGCTTGGTGATTTTATACAGTTTATGTGCTGGGTCCATTACATTGCAGAGTTTTACCATCACTTTAGGTGTATTATGGGTGAGCTTGGCACATCATGGGTATGTTTTGTTGGTTTCCTGTAGCTGGGTTATTTGAATGGGAATCTGTTAGCTCAGCTGGTTGGATGGCTGGTTTGTAATGTACAATAACACCAACTGTGCAGGTTCAATCCCTGCACTGGCTGAGGTTATTATGAAGGACTGTCCCTGTCCCCTTGCCTGAGACAAGGTGACCCTAAGGTTCAATTCACCAGATGTGTGTTTCTCTTTGTAATGTGAGAGAGCAGTTTGATGCTCCAGTAGGGCTATGTGAACTTTGCCTTTTTCATTTGAGTGCTCTCTGTTGTATTTACACTGTATCTGGGGCACAGGCTTTGTGGCTGTAGTTGTTGTTCATTTATTGAGGTGGAATGTTGGGTCTCTGTCAGGTTTGAAAACAGAATGTGGTCCAGGCTCTGGAACCTGTTCTGCAACTGTTTGCTCAGATCTTGGCTGATTTGATGCTCAAACCCCTATATCTGCCTTTGACACATGTCAATGATGCCTAGATTAGGTGGGTTATAGGGGGATGGGTCTGGGTGGGATGCTCTGAGGGTCGGTGTTGACTTTTTGGGCCAAAGGGCCTGTTTCCACACTATAGGGATTCTATGATCGATGAATGAATATCTTCAGCCAATACAAATTTACCCAAAAACAAAAACACAAAGTGCTGGAGAAACTCAGCAGGTCTGGCAGCATCCTTGGAGAGAGAAACAGAGTTAACTTCTTGAGTCCTTCTTCAGAACCGTATCCATCTCAGCTTCAAACTCTCCTATTCCCGCTGACCGTGACAATCCACACTTTTTGTGAGGGGAGTTTATCTGCATTCATCACTGCTTGTGATTACTGTAGATTCACTGCTACATTTTACTTTGGGTATTTTGCATGGGTTTCGCTGTGAATCGTTGATGGGTTTGGAATTGTATTTGAGTGAGTGTTAGTATTTTTTGAAGCAGGCCATAAATAGAGGATTTGAACATAGAACATAGAATATAGAACATAGAACAGTACAGCACAGTACAGGCCCTTCGGCCCACAATGTAGTGCCGACCTGTTATCCTATTAAGATCAAACTACCCTGCATACCCTACATTTTACTATCCTCCATGATTCTATCCAAGAGTTGCTTAAATGTCTCTAATGTATCTGAATTCACTATCACTGCTGGCAGCCCATTCCATGCGCACACCACTCTCTGTGTAAAGAACCTACCTCTGACATCTCCCCTATACCTTCCTCCAATCACCTTAAAATTATGCCTCCTTGTAATAGTCATTTCCGCCCTGGGAAAAAGTCTCTGACTATCCACTCTATCTATGCCTCTCATCATCTTGTACACCTCTATCAAGTCACCTGTCATCCTTCTTCGCTCCAATAAAAAAAGCCCTAGCTCCCTCAACCTTTCCTCATAAGACCTGCCCTCCAGTCCAGGCAGCATCCTGATAAATCTTCTCTGGACCCTCTCTAAAGCTTCCACATCTTTCCAGTAATGAGGTGACCAGATTCCAAGTGTGGTCTAACCAGAGTTTTATAGAGCTGCAGCATAACCTCACGGCTCCTAAACTCAAATCCCCTGCCAATGAAAGCCAACACACCATACGCCTTCTTTACAACCCTATCAACTTGGGTAGCAACTTTGAAGGATCTGTGGGCGTGGACCCTAAGATCCCTCTGTTTCTCCACACTGCTGAGAATCCTGCCATTAACCCTGTATTTTGCATTCAAATTCGACATTCCAAAATGAATCACTTCACACTTTTCCAGGTTGAATTCCATCTGCCACTTCTTTGCCCAGCTCTGCATCCTGTCAATGTCCCGTTGCAACCTACAACAACCCTCCACGCTGTCCACAAGTCCACCAACCTTCAGGTCATTTGAAGTTGGGCATTTAGCCTTTGGCTGTGCTCCAGCATCCAACTAGGGGTCAGGTGGCTGGACAGCCTGGTCTGCGATGTGGAGAGTGACACCAACAGCATGAGGTCATTTCCTACAATGGTTGAGGTCACCATGAAGATCCTACCTTTGCAACCGTGCTCCTTAATTGAGGCATAGTCACCCTCAGGTTAAACTCACCACCAACCATCTCTGTCTCTCTCTGTCTCTCTCTCTCTGGGAGAGCAGTGATGGTGATTTTCAAGGCGCGGCTCATTGAGATTTGCAGGATTATCAGAGCATCAGAGTTTATTGGCATCTATTGGGCAAGTCACAGGATATACCTTATTGAGTTCCTAAACACTTCTTGTGGCACGCTTCAACTCAGAGAAGCACTTTCAAGCCTTGGCTGTTAGAGATAAAATACACATGTTGCCTCCTTAACTTCTAAATTCGTCATCTGTTTCCCCCTTTCTCTCAGCCATTCCAACTATGTTTAAATGTTTGTGATCCCTGAAGCTTCAGCGATCAGTCAGTCCTGTGGGTGATATAACCACACAATACTCACCCCCTGGCGTTGGCTGTCTGCAGTGACATTCCTGAATCAGAGCTCTCAATGGATCTTGCGAATTTGCTGTGGGACAGTTGCCACATCTAGAGGCAGAAATGGCTCAAACCAATAGCTCTTTGCTACAAAGCCACAGGTAGAACTTTTAATTTTCTCTCTCGCAAAGACCCTCTCATTCACTGTCTTACTCAAAGTCTTTGAACCCACTGTCTAAGTCCTTATGCCATTCTCTCGAGGTCTCTTTCCTTCTCAAGTCAGGTACAGCAAGCAAGGTTCTACATTCTAAAAAGAACGATCACAATTGGTTCTAGAAACATTCTTGATCTCAACTTCCTCCTTCATTTCTGCCATTACCTCCTGGAAAACATAGCTTCTCACATTCCAATAGATAAACAGGCAGTGGAAAAATGGAAAAGACCAGTTTGAGCCGTATTAACATCTTCATTCTCCATATCAGATTGATTCAAGGGATAACTGCAGGAAATTGGGATTAGTGCACTTTTAGTGGTAGTTATGTTGGTGCAGACTCGATGGGCCAAAGGCCTTTTCTGCTCTGTATGAATCTATGATAGTGCTTTAAGGTTCCATTTCTGGACACATTTGAACCTGTTTTCAATGGAATTGATCAATTTTGGTTGGTATATATTAATCTTGCAGTTAATATATATGAACCTTTCAGTTAATTTGCTTATTTGGGTTATTTGGTTTGATCAGATTTCTCTCTGTCCCAATAAGAGTCTTGACAAAGTTACAAAAGTTAACATGATAGAGTTAATCTGTTCTTCCTTGTCCCTCTTGACCTATCTCCAGCTCTTGACAGAGATAGTTAGCCACACCATTATCCTCCAAGTCCAGTTGAGTGGGACCACTGTCACCTGATTCCATGTTTATCTGTCAAGTTCTAGGCAGAGATTCACTTGCAAAGGCTTCTCTTGTTGCTCCTGGAATGACTCGACGATCTATGCTCAACTTCCTCCTATTTCTATTGATGTCATCATCCACAGACTGTGTGAATTTCCATGTGTACACTGACCACACCTGACCCTACTTCACCACCATCCCCCCTCCTCACCTCACCCACCCAGATCTCTCCGCTAACTATAAATTACCAGAATGTTTAGCTGACGATATTCAGTACCAAATGGGCATAATTTTCTCCTTTAAATATTGGGAAGATTGTGGATCCATTACCTTCAGCCCCTCAAGTGACCGACTCCCAACCTCTCCCTGGGAACTGTCTGAGGCTGACTGAGATTATTCCTTGTTGACCATGTGTAGTGAGACAAGTGAGAATTGGTTGTGTCTATTGGTGGCTCGTTGGTGTTCATTTCTCACTACACGCGGACAACAAGGAACAATTTGACTGGGACAACACATCCGTAATCGCATGAGCCAAACAGAGACATGCCAGGGAATTCCTGGAGGCCTGGTATTCCAACTGGAACTCCATCAACAAACACATTGAATTAGACCTTGTGTACAAACCACTGAGAAACACAACTGGAAGTAGTACCAACCACCCTAGCAAACTGAGGCATATAAATAAAATGCAGGACAGAACACCAATGCTTCACCGGAAGCACACTGATGGTGTTACCTAGCAGGGTGACGCAACGTTTGCAACCAAACCACTGGCTCAGCGAGCAAGTCTGCAACTTTAACCTTATAGAAGTTTATAAAATAATGCAGGGTATAGATAGAGTTAATGGCAGTTGTATTTACCCTAAGATGGGGACTTTCAAGATGAGGGGGCACATTTTTAAGGTGAAAGGAGAAAGATTTACAAAAGACATGAGGGGCAACTTTTTTACACAGAGGGTGGTTCGTGTGTGGAATGAACTTCATGAGGAGGTGGTGGATGTGCATACAGTTACAACGTTTAAAAGACATTTGGACAAGTACATGAATAAGGAAAGTTTGGAGGAGTATGAGCCAGAATCAGGCAGGTGGGACTAGTTTAGTTTGGGATTATGGTCATCATGGACTGGTTGGTCTGAAGGGTCTGTTTCCGTGCTGTATGTCTCTATGACTCAATGGCATTTGAAAGCACTTTGCAGCCAATTAAATAGCGGCAGGAATGTAGGAGCCAATTTGTGAACTGCAAAGTCCTCGCAGGGTTAATGAGGAGATCAGACCCTGAGTATCTGTGTCAGCAATGACAGCTCAGGGATAAACAATGGCCAGGAAACCAGGAGGAACATTCTCAGCTTTCTGCACTTGAGGGTTTGCAGCTGCATCAATAAGCAAACACTTTCACTCTCTGCTCCTTACGTAGTTCAAGTGAAGTAATTTTATTCCTCAGTAAATAAGCTCAACTCCTACAGTGAGAATAGGTGTTAAACAGCAAGTTTCAGTCCACCTCCACTAATTGCAGCTAGTGTTACTCACATATCAATATGAAGCAGGCGTATGAGGAGAGGTGATAGCTGATTGATATCCTCAATCTGACACTATTTATCCTAACAAGAGCATGATTTAATCATTCATCTTCATACGGTGACATTTATTTTAACCATCCATCCAGTGGCTGCAGTGCCTAGTGTGCAAAACAGTCACAGAATGATACAGGGATTTCGAACTGTTTCACTGTCTGTATTTACAAGGGGTCCCCAGGTGTGTGTGTGTGTGTCTGTGTTTGTGTGTCTGTGTGTGTGTGTTTGTGTGTGTGTGTTTGTGTGTTTGTGTGTTTGTGTGTGTGTTTGTGTGTCTGTGTGTGTGTTTGTGTGTGTGTGTGTTTGTGTGTGTGTGTTTGTGTGTCTGTGTGTGTGTTTGTGTGTGTGTGTGTTTGTGTGTCTGTGTGTGTGTTTGTGTGTGTGTTTGTGTCTCTGTGTGTGTGTTTGTGTGTGTGTGTGTTTGTGTGTGTGTGTTTGTGTGTCTGTGTGTGTGTTTGTGTGTGTGTGTGTGTGTGTGTGTGTGTGTCAGTATTTACAGGGGGATCCTGGGTAAGGGGGAGGAGGGCGGTGTGTCAGTATTTACAGGGGGATCCTGGGTGGGGGGGAGCGGGGTGGTGTGTCAGTATTTACGGGGGGATCCTGGATGGGGGGGAGGAGGGCGGTGTCTCAGTATTTACAGGGGGATCCTGGGTGGGGGGAGGGGGGTGCGGTGTGTCAGTATTTACAGGGGGATCCTGGGTGGGGAGGAGGGGTGTGCGTTGTGTCAGTATTTACAGGGGGATCCTGGGGAGGGGGAGTGGGTCAGTATTTATGGGGGGGTCCCCGGGGGGTGGTGAGTGTGTCATGATTTTATAAACCTCTATACGGTCAGGCCTCACTGTCCAACACTCCAGAGAAAATAGCCCCAGCTTATTCAGCCTCTCCTGATACGCCAAACCCTCCAAACCCGGCACCATCCTTGTAAAAGGAGGCAATGGCCTAGTGGTTTTATGACTAGACTATTAATTCAGAGACTCAGGGAATGTTCCTGGGGACCTGGGTTTGAATCCTGCCACAGCAGACGGTGGAATTTGAATTCAATAAATACCTGGAATTAAACATCTAATGATGACCATAAATCCATTAGCGATTGTTAGAAAAACCCATCTGGTTCACTAATGCCCTTTAGGGAAGGAAACTGCCATCCTTACCTGGTCTGGCCTACATGTGACTCTAGACCCACAGAGATGTGGTTGATGCTTATCTGCCCTCTGGGTAATTAGGGATGCGCAATAAATGCTGGCCTAACCCGTGACATCCTCAATCTGTGAATGAATCGAAAAAAAATCTTCTCTGAACCCTTTCATCTTTCCTCAAGCAGGGAGACCAGAACTAAGAGTGGCCTCACTAAAGTCTTCTTTGTATTTAACCCTAAATTTTAACCCTCTCCCCCCCCCCAACCTCTCTCTCTCGGCGTTCTGAATGTCAATGATTTGTCTGGTATTTATGTTCCTGTTGCCCTCCAGGTTTGAGTAATATCATTGGCATCATAGTGTACATATCCGCCAACGCTGGAGACCCAGCCAAAAGCGACTCCAAAAAGAACAGTTACTCCTACGGATGGTCCTTTTACTTTGGAGCTCTGTCCTTTATCATTGCAGAGATGGTGGGAGTGTTAGCTGTCCATTTGTTCATTGACAGACACAAACAGATCCGGGCCGGGGCCAGATCCGCGGATTACCTGCAATCCTCGGCGATCACTCGCATCCCCAGTTACCGGTACCGCTACCGACGGCGCAGTCGGTCGAGCTCCCGGTCCACGGAACCCTCTCACTCCAGAGATGCCTCGCCGGTTGGTCTCAAAGGCTTCAACACGCTACCCTCCACCGAGATCTCCATGTACACTCTCACCCGAGACCCCCTGAAGACCACCAGCTCCTACAACTCTGAGCGCGACCACAACTTCCTGCAGGTTCACAACTGCATTCAGAAAGAGCTGAAGGATTCATTACACACTAATACAGCGAACCGCAGAACAACACCTGTATAAAACACTGGACGCTGCAGAAAGAGGGACAGAGAGAGAGAGAGAACAAAACAGAGGAACAACAACAAAAAAAATTAATAATTTACAAAAAAAGGAGAATATTAAAAGTTATTGCATGAAAACCCAATTCCATTGCAAAAAAAAATGCAAAAGTTACTTTGTCAAAAAAAAAGTTTAAAATCTAAAACGAGGAGGAAAAAGAGAGGGGCAGATGTGATGATGCAGAAGGCTTGAAGTTCTGCAAAAGGATGGATTGACGAGAGAGAGGAGTGTGAGAGAGACAATTAGGAGGAGGGTTTTTTTTGTTCATTTCTCAAATGAATTTAAAACGCCATTTATCGTCGACTTTTTTTGTTTCTCGTAACTATTGTTTCCCTGCCGAGAATGGGAGGCGATGGTTTTCGTTAAAAGGTCATGAGCTTGCTGAAGAGTTTAAAACATATTTAAAAAGGAGAAAAAAAAGGACACATCCATTCTTTGAGACAACTACAAAGCAGGGAGGATTTTAGAAAAACAAAACAAAAGAAACACAGGACTGGAATAACATCAAATGTCAGTCTTTAATTTTGCTTGGCCATTGAATGAAGTGATCATTTATCAAAGGAAATTGGAACATTAAAAAAGAAAATTTATGTATTCTTTACAAAAACAAAAGGCATTTTATTGGTGTGTGGCAAGCTGAGGATTTGAGAAATTTGCATGTGATGATAATGACGCTCCTCTTCCGACCAAAAAAAAACACTCAAATCAAGAATTTCAAAACAAGAAATTTTTTTAACAATTTCAATTATTATTTAAGAAAAACAAAATGATAAAAATGGAATGGAATTTTGTGTGGAGCTGGAATGGAGAGGGTTTGATAGAAACGAGAAGCAATCAGCTTTTATTTCCAAAGTTTCCTAATTTTGGTCCAACTTTAGGATGACCATGACAATTCTTTGAAGGTGTGAGGATGGACTGAAAGCAGAAGGAGAGAGAGACAGGGGGAAAACGGGGCGAAATGGTATGTGTGACCTCTCTAAAATCAGGAAACTCTATGTGCGAGTGTGATACTGTGGTGTTTAATTCATTTCATGCCAAATTTAAAAAAAAATCAAAAAAATTTCAAAAAAATGAAATAAAATCTACCAAAAAAAACTTTCATATATTTTATTTTAAAAAATAAAAAAAGACATTTTCTATGGTTTGAACAAGGAATAAAAAAAGAAAATTAAATTCAAACATCTGATACATCCACAATGGAATATTTTAAATATGGTTTAACAAAACAGAAAAAGGATTCATTGTGGGATCCACTAGAAATATTTAAGAGAATTGAAAGATTAATTTTAAGCTGAGATGATTGTACAATGGAAGAGCTTTTAAACAGTTAAAAAAATTAATTCTCAGCGAGCTAAACAAACTCGGCTTGCCAAAACCCTGAAAACACAATCCTTCTTTTTCCCAATAATGATTTCCAGAATCAAAACCTGATTGAGTTGTGGGAAAGAGAATGGGACCTGGTTATCTTGTAAGATCCACTTCATTGGAAGAAATCAAAACCCATCAATTTATCTCAATTGTTACAATTATTTTCTTTTTTTGTTTGCAGACTGTTAAAAAAAACCTGAGACATTCAAATAAACACTTTTATAAGAAGCTTGCGCTTTAATTGTTTATTTCTATGTAAATGTTTTCTGAACTTTTTCATAAGAACCATCCATTTCTGGTTATCTAGGGGACCAGGCAGGAGTGAAATTTGTTGGGTGCCAATGCTGAGATTGGTGAAGAAGGCAGCATCTGATTATTTCAGACAAAGCTGAATTGTCTGGCAGGTCAGCGCGTAAGCTAATCTTACGCTGTCTGCAAAATCCCCAATTATCAAATGCTTCATTTCTTCTTTTTCATGGCTTCAGATCTCTGTGTGTCTTTTTTTGTTGATGCGTCAGGGAGGGTAGTTTGGTAAACTAGGCATTTAGCCCAATCCGCACCATGTCTACTGAATGATTTGCAGAGCTGTTTTGGCTGAGAGGCCATCACATTGCTGTGGTCAGTCTGCGTTAGGATCCCTCCCTAAAGAACATGAATGAACCAGATGGGTTTTAATGTTTGCTAATAACAATTTCTTTCTCTCTTTGCCATTTAAGTCCACCTTCACTCCTTTATTTCACATTATCCTAACACCATCTCTCCTCTCTCAGTTTTTCTCACATTCTCCCTCACTTGCACCTCTTTTCCTTCTTATTCTCATTTCCGTCTCCTCCTTCAGTCTCTCCCCATTCATTTCTGTCTTTGTGACTTCCTGTTGTAATGACCCTGCAAGCCCTGGTTGTAACTAGAGATCAGCATTAAGCATGGGCATACAGAAGGGATTCTGAACACAAATTCAAATCTCACCATTGAGATTTCCAAAAGTTGTGTCTGGAAACCATGCTACCATCTGTAAAAGTAACCACTAAGCTGTTGGATTGTCAGCAAAACCCAAATGGTTAATCTGTGTCCTTTAGGAAAGGTAACCAGTCATGCTTACTCAGTCATTCTCTACAGCACTGTAGCAGCTAATGTGGCCAACAAAATGTGATAATGACCAGATTATCTGCTTTAGTTGATGTCAACTGGTTGGACTGAAAGTCTATTTCTGTGCTGCATGACTCTATGACTCCAGTTGAGGGATAAATATGATCCAGGAGAGCGAGAGAGAATTGCACAGCTCTACTTTGAAATGTGTCACACGGGGTGTTCTATATTCACCAGAGAGAGCAGGCAGGGTCACAGTTTCTGTCTCATGTGAAAGATAGTGTCACACTCCCTCAGTACTGACCCTCCGACAGTGCGGCGCTCCCTCAGTACTGACCCTCCGACAGTGCCCACTCCCTCAGTACTGACCCTCCGACAGTGCGGCGCTCCCTCAGCACTGACCCTCCGAC